TCCTGAAGTCCTGCAACAGTACTGCTCCCACAGCGATGTCACTTGCGTCGGTGACGAGCTCGAACGGACGGTGAGGATCTGCGATGTGAAGCACGGGCGGTGAGCACAAAATTTGTTTGAGGGCCGAGAAGGCAGCTTGCTCTTTCTCCCCCCACGTATACTCAACCCCCTTCCTCAGCAGGTCGGTCAACGGGGCAGTCAACTTCGCCATGTCGGGGACAAACCGTAGCACGTAGTTGACGAACCCAAAAAAACTCTGCAACTCGGTCAAGTTGGTCGGCGCGTGCCATGCTTGAATCGTCGCGATCTTTTTGGGGTCTATTTCTACTCCGTTGGCTGAAATTACGTTCCCTAAAAACTCCAATCTGTCCTGTAGAAACTCACACTTAGAGGCTTTGGTCAGTATGCAGTTCTCACTCAGTATTTTAAAAACTGCTTCGATGTCGTGTAGATGCTGTGCTTTGTCGGGGTTGTAGACCAGTATGTCGTCTGAGTATACGATGACGCACTTATCTAAGAGCGGACGGAAGGCTTCGTTCATCGTCATTTGGAAGGTTGCAGGGGCGTTGGTCAGTCGGAAGGGCATTACCGTGTATTCGAACGATCCGTAGCGTGTTCGGGAAGCTCTTTTCAGGCAGTCGGGTGGGTTGACGCGGATTTGGTGGTAGCCTCCTCGAAGGTCGTTTTTGAGAAGACCCGAGCTGTGCGCAGTTGGTCGATCAGTTTGTCGGCTCGCGGAATGGGGTAACGGGACTTGATGGCAACTCTATTTAGTGCGTGGTAATCTACGCAAATGCAAAATCCCTTGTCTTTTTTCGGTGTGAACAGTATCGGTGCAGCGAAGGGTGACAAACTCGGGCGAATGATTTTTTTTTCGAGCAGGTAATCCAGCTGCTTCCGAAGTTCGTCCAGTTCGGGTTGGGTCAGTCGGAACTGTCGCTGTACTGTCGGCTGTGCCCCCAGTTCTAGTTCTATCCTGTGGTCGTGCGGTCGTTGAGGTGGCAGTCCTTCCGGTAGGTCATCCGGAAATATCCCGCTGTACTGCTTCAGTAGCGCTGCCGAGTCATCCGGTACGTCGGCGAGCAGTTTCTGTAAATCACTCTGTTTGTCTGCTGCCTCGGCTTCCCGAATGTCAACCGCATACACGTCAGCTCCTACCGCTACGGCGCGTTTCATGGTGATCGCGTTGACACGCACCGACGAAGACTCAGGTGAGCTCCAGCGAGGTAAGGCGATGTTGTTACCGTTCACTCGCACGGTGCAATCACCCGTCGTCCAGTCGATTCGCGGATTGTGGCGTCACAGCCAATCACGACCGAGTAAAATGTCGGTCCCGTCGAGGGTCGTTGTGAGCATTTCCTGGGTAAAGGTAAAGTTACCCCCGCATCAAATCCGAACTCGGTCCACACGTTCCCGTACCGCCAGTGGCGTGCCGTCGACCAGTCTTGCGTCAATCTCAGGTAAACACCTGTCCAGTGGCAGTTTCAGTTTCCGTGCTGTGGCAGTGTTGATGAGGCTGTGGCTGGCTCCTCCGTCTACGAATACTTTAACTAAGTCTGTCCCAATCTTCCCACTAAGCAGTATGGGTCTATCTACCGATGTACCCTCCTTATTCGGCCGGGTGTGGTCGATTTCGTGAACTGGCACAATCACTCGGTGAGGGTCAGTTGGGTCGGGCGAGCGGCGTGACCTGTCAGTAGAGGGCACGTCTGCTACTGACTCCCAGCGTTTCCCTACTGCTTGGTCTGTTTCTGCTGCTCAGCTTCCCCCTTTCCCTTAGCATTTTCCGGACATTCGCTTTTGCAGTGTCCCGGCCTGTTGCACGCGAAGAAGCGCCCTTTGAACGGTGCGGCAGTGGCATTTGCAGCGACAGCGCGTATCGTGGCGTGCTCGTTCGTCCCACGAGGTCGATATCTCCAGCTGTTGTTGTTGCCGTAGGACCCCGATCCCGGTCGGCGAAGAAAATTAAAAATTTCCGCCATAGCGAGAATCTCCAGAAATTCGGTGACGTTGCGGAGCTGGATTTCCTGAGCGATGTCATGCTTCAGGCCGCCGATGTAGCGGTCGATGCGCTCGCCCTCGTGCATATAGCCCACCTGCTCACACAGCGCCAGAAACCCGCTGGTGTAGTCCTGGACGGAACCGAGTTGACACCAAGTGCGGAGCTTCTGATGCACTGCGATAGAAGCCGCAATCGACTCGAATCTCGCGCGCAGACCTGCGCACCACGCATCCCACGTGCGATACCGGGGCACTTCCACGAAATATGACGGCGCCCCGGGTCCGGTTTGTCCTTCCCGTGCCGGTAGAGTCTGATAGTCCATCGGCTTCGTGACGATGACGCGCCACCAATCCATGGCGGGTCATCGCAGCAGCGACACGGCGTAGCGAATCTTCGCCGAATCCTCCGAGACGTAGTTCGCGGGTCGAAGAACACGTTCATGGTGAATAACCACGCCTGAACGGTAGGGCCACCCCGTTGACTCGGGTCAAAGCAAAGCGGACAGTGCGGCTTCAGCGGCATCGGCGACGGCAGTGCTGACTCGCCAGTCGGCACCGAAATCGTGGGTCAGAAGTACCAATCATGAGCGAAGGCATGAGCGAATACTTATGTGCGAAACATGCAACGGTTACGCGGTGCGTGCGAGCTAGCTAGTGCTAGGCTGGCATCAAGTTTCGGGCTAGCCCCGAAGCGTAGGCCTGCAAGGTTTGGTAAAACAGTGCGCGCGAAGTTGGCGAAGCCCCGTTAGCAGTAACGGGCGAACAACGGCTGCTGTTGTACGCGATGTTGATGGCCGCGGTAAGGAATGTCGAGAAAATTCAGTACATCACAAGACTTCATTGTCATCTTACAACTTAGCAATTCTTATCCTATCCACTGCGATTCCTGGTTATATCAACAACTTCCGAGATATTGCATTATGTAGTAGACTCTTTCATTCTTCAACTCATAACACATGACCAGGGTCTCACGTAAGAGAAATTGGTATCGTTCTGCAGGCATCACGGAGGGAAGGGGAGGGAAAATAGGAAGCTGCCTGCCTTTGCAATTTTAGGTTCGAAATGGCGGTCAGCCTGGAAAAGGCTGATGTGGCAGTCATTTCCCTTCCGAACCTAATCGAAGGGAAATGCCTGCAGAACAGTCATTTCCCTCCCGGGAACTGCACCCCCAAGAAGGTTCCTACTTCCCCTCACCACCTTCCTCCTTGGGCAAAATTATTTGCCTCCGCCCCGCCATCGGCCACCCACCCTTCACGGGGAAGTGCGACGGTGACGGGAGGGAGGAGCTGGGCGTGGGAACACCAGCCTCCCACCCAAGAAACAAGCTTCCCTGTACAGCCACTAACCCAAACAGGGTTGCAAATCTCAAATCGAAAAATAAAACACACACCAACCACCAAAGTGAAAACCCTGGCGGCCTGCTCACCACTCCTGTATGTTGGGATTTTTTTATGTTGAAAACGCCCAGCCCCAAATAATTACCCTGGTCCTGCATTCGTTGGTCACGATTTACCCCTCCATTGGGTGCGAGAAATTCCGCGAGAAGTTTGTCATTTTCCCTCGGAAACTACCTCCCCAAAATCTGAAATTTCCCATCTCGCATGTTTGCCCATGGGGGGGGGAAATCGACCTCGGAACCCACCTCGGAACCCTCCTCATTTCCCTTCTCCCTCCCTCCTCCCCCAATCGTCAGGTGCCTATAGAACGACAACATTGGTGGTGTTCGCCAACACCTTTGAAAGCAAAAACGACGGGATCAGGAAGGTCAGTCCCGCCTTCCTGATCCCGTCAGTTAGGGTTCGTTAAGCTCCGTCAGCCTGGTCAGCCCGTAAAATTCCTGCCGAAGCTAGGATGCCGTCCGACCCAAATGCAATCTTTGGTGCCTGGCGAACGCCCTCGTTTTTCTCAAATTTCGGATGGAATCATGGCATTCGGAAATGGGGATGTGATTTCCTCCCCTGGCAAACGTCCCGTCTCATGCCATCCCATGGCAATCCACCATTTCACGGTGGATTGCCGTGGGATGGCGATGTAATTGGCTGTCAGAGGGTAACCACAACCAGAGGGGGAAGGTAGGGAGGCGGGTTCCATATGCGGTTGTAAAGTTTCCCATTTCGGGGCCCGAACTTTCGCGAGTGGCATTTCGCCCAAAGCTCTTCGGAGGGTTCCGGCCCCTCTTCCTGATGCCGTTGCCAGTCCGATGCCGGCCTTTTTCTTGCAATCTCACATGTGCTGGCGAACACCGCCATTGTGATCAACTGCAAAACAATTGAAGCTTCGTCACCCTGTTTGAGGTGGCGAAGTCTAGGGGTTGGTTTGGGAATGGATTGTGCAACACCTCCCGTTTTTGCCTCTGATTCAATTGCAAAACATTTTGATGGGTACATGAGACTGACGGGATGCTCTAACATTTTGCTGGTGTTCTAGCTTTGGCACCGAACCAATTTCCGTGCCTAGATGGTTCGGACACAAACTGCGAATTGTGTTTCCTTCGCTCCCCTCGTCACACCGCCCGTCATTCTTTAAACCTCGCCAACCAATCCCAACCAAGGTGAAGTGATCAACTTCAAAACAAATGATCTACGTGAGACCCTGGTTTTAAAGCTCGCGTCTCATATTTACTAGTGTTTAACACTTGGTTGGGAAAGTAAGATCCTGATTGGTTCACGAGTGACGAATTTTAGCGGGGGAAATATATGGGCGAAGTTCCAAAGTGTTGAGGTCAACACAAGAGCTCAGGGGCAGGTTTGGGTCACTTCCGAACCTCTTGCGGGACAGGTTTGGAAAGTTTGCACTTTGTGCGACCAACACTGACGACGCACCAGATTGTGCAAGGGAGTGAAGTGATAGGGAAAAATCAAGTGCCACTCCCGCCCTACCTCCTCACACGTAGCAGAAGCATTACCACTCCAAAGGTAAGCAATATTCTATCCAAAGGCGTCAAAAGAGAAAAGAAGTATCGTAACAGGGGTGAGCAGCAGTAGCGCTCCCCTTTGCCTATGCTTATGATTAGGTTATACCCGTCACCTTCCCGCCACCCGACCTCCGCTTCCCCGCCACCCCATCTCCCCTGCTCGCCGACCGATCTCCCGTGCTCGCCGCCCGAGCTCCCCTTCCCGCGGCCCGATCTCCCATTTTTGCCGCCCGATATCCCCTTTTTGCCTCCTCTCGCCTCCCCACGCGGCCTCCTCTCGCCTCTCCGTGCGGCCTCCTCTCCCCTCCCTTTGCCCTCGCTTCCCCCTCCCATCGCCATCGCTTCCCCCTCCCGTCGCCCTCGCTTCCCTTCCCCATCGCCCTCGCTTTCCCCTCCTGTCGCCCTCGCTTCCCCCTCCCATCGCCCTTGCTTCCCCCTCCCGTCGCCCTCGCTTCCACCTCCCCTCGCCCCGCCCATCGCCCTCGCTTCCCCCTCCCATCGCCCTCGCTTCCCCCTCCCATCGCCCTCGCTTCCCCCTCCCATCGCCCTCGCTTCCCCCTCCCATCACCCTTGCTTCCCCCTCCCGTCGCCCTCGCTTCCACCTCTCCTCGCCCCGCCCATCGCCCTCGCTTCCCCCTCCCATCGCCCTCGCTTCCCCCTCACATCGCCCTCGCTTCCCCCTCCCATCGCCCTCGCTTCCCCCTCCCATCGCCCTCGCTTCCCCCTCCCATCGCCCTCGCTTCCCCCGCCCATCGCCCTCGCTTCCCCCTCCCATCGCCCTCGCTTCCCCCTCCCATCGCCCTCGCTTTCCCCTCCCGTCGCCCTTGCTTCCCCCTCCCATCGCCCTCGCTTCCCCCTCCCATCGCCCTCGCTTCCCCCTCCCATCGCCCTCGCTTCCCCCTCCCATCGCTCTCGCTTTCCCCTCCCATCGCCCTCGCTTCCCCCTCCCATCGCCCTCGCTTCCCCCTCCCATCGCCCTCGCTTCCCCCTCCCATCGCCCTCGCTTTCCCCTCCCGTCGCCCTCGCTTCCCCCTCCCGTTGCCCTCGCTTCCACCTCCCCTCGCCCCGCCCATCGCCCTCGCTTCCCCCTCCCATCGCCCTCGCTTCCCCCTCCCATCGCCCTCGCTTCCCCCTCCCATCGCCCTCGCTTCCCCCTCCCATCACCCTTGCTTCCCCCTCCCGTCGCCCTCGCTTCCACCTCCCCTCGCCCCGCCCATCGCCCTCGCTTCCCCCTCCCATCGCCCTCGCTTCCCCCTCCCATCGCCCTCGCTTCCCCCTCACATCGCCCTCGCTTCCCCCTCCCATCGCCCTCGCTTCCCCCTCCCATCGCCCTCGCTTCCCCCTCCCATCGCCCTCGCTTCCCCCGCCCATCGCCCTCGCTTCCCCCTCCCATCGCCCTCGCTTCCCCCTCCCATCGCCCTCGCTTTCCCCTCCCGTCGCCCTTGCTTCCCCCTCCCATCGCCCTCGCTTCCCCCTCCCATCGCCCTCGCTTCCCCCTCCCATCGCCCTCGCTTCCCCCTCCCATCGCTCTCGCTTTCCCTCCCATCGCCCTCGCTTCCCCCTCCCATCGCCCTCGCTTCCCCCTCCCATCGCCCTCGCTTCCCCCTCCCATCGCCCTCGCTTTCCCCTCCCATCGCCCTCGCTTCCCCCTCCCGTTGCCCTCGCTTCCCCCGCCCATCGCTAGTCCACTTGCGCTATCTGTCAGTGTGGGGCAGCAGCATCACCAACGCCTCTGTGCAGCTGCTCCCCTTTCCCCCACTCCCACCATCCTCTTTCCACCCCCGCCTCCCCCCCTTCCCCCGCAGTCGCTGGTTCACTTGCGCCATCTGTCAGTGTGGGGCAGCAGCATCACCAGAGCCTCTGCCTCACTGCTCCTCGCCTTCATCCGCCTGCTCTCCGCCAACCTCGCCTGGACTGCCCTCTCCCACCTCCCCGCCCGCCCCTCTCTCACCGCCCTCCACCTCTCCCAGTGCCCCCTCCTTTCCATTGGCTTCCCTCTCCCCTCCTCCTCATCCTCTCCCTTCGCCTCCTCTCCTTCCTCCTCTCACTCCTCCTCCTCCTCGTCCTCCTTCCCTCTCACTCATCTGGTTATCTCTGGTGCCTCAATCGCTCCTCCCTCCTCCCTCTTCCCTCCTCACCTCCTCGCCTCCCTCACTCACCTCAACCTCTCTACTGCTGCTGTCCCTGACGCCCTTCTGTTACACCTCGTCCACTCCCTTCCCCACACGGTACGTTAGCTCCTCACCACTCTCCCTCACACACCTTGATCTCTCTGGCTCACTCTGTTTCCCCTGCTCATTCTCTCCCCCCCGGCTCACTCTGTTTCCCCTGCTCCTTCTCTGCCCCTGGGCTCGCTTTGTTTCTTCCTGTTCACTCTATTTTCCGCTACTCAGTCTGTTCCCCTTTTCACTCACCCCCATTGCCAGCCGCGCAGGGTACATGTCCCAGTCCCAGCACCATGGCCCAGGGTTTATTGCATGCAGTGTAGCAGCCAAGAGTGGCCCAAAAATATTACATTTCTAGCTGTCTTGTTTGTCACGATAGTCAGTTGCCAAGTACTTCCTTTGTTGGTCATGTGAATGGCTGCTTCTGAGCAAAGTGTTGGTATTATAACAAAGCATCCAACAGCATGGCCAATCATTGTAGTAATATTAAACAGTCAAAACATCACCACAACCAGATGGCAGGGCTGATTTTATCAGGGTAATTACCCTGATTTCAGGGTGATTTCAGAGTAGTAACTGTGTGGTCCCTGTAAAATCAGGCTATCCTGATTTTGAACACTGATCCAGTCAGAGTAGTGATTTAGCGGACACTGAAAAGTTGTGTACACTCTCAGAGTACTAAGCTTGCGAACCCTGTCAATACAGAGTACAAGTCCTGTGGACCCTGAATGAGACGGTATCGGGAGGAAGGTTCCCCGAAATTTCGTTCCGATTACCCCCACATGTGCGCAATCATGCTTTTACCAGGGCTTTAGTGAGGGCCCTTTCACGCGCAAGCGTGCCATACTACAAACAAAAAATACCATTCCCCCCTGTACAGCATCGCTGTACCGCACAACAAAAATCTTTGACAGCGCACCCGAAGTCATGATTTCGACAGCCACGCGCACCACGCAAAGGACGGTACGTGTCCCTCATTGGCGAGGGACACATGTTCGACAGTCTTCGCTGGCAGGGCTGTTCAATGTATTCGGCCTTGCATGCAAGGCCGAATTCATTGACGACTCGGGGTTTCTGGACAGGGAGCCATCAATCTCTTGGCGACGCGTTGGGGTCAGCATGCCCCCATCTTCTCCATCCTTCTCTTGCTTCCCCCTCCCCCCAACCACTGTCCATTATGTGCCGCTGTTATTTCGATTTCGTTCATTCTTTTGTCTCCGTTTCTCTCTGTCCCCCTCTGTAGTTGCTCGCCGCCATGGAAGCCCAGCAGGGCGACGATGATTCTCCTCCGGCTGGCCCAGATGAGCCACCCTTACCGCAGAAACCCACGGAACCTACCGGTGCCCGTCGTTCGGGCCTATACTTTCTTAGGGGTAGCTCCGTTCCACTTACTCCCGATCTACCGAGGTCCACCATCAATGACTCTGCTGCGAGGGAAACGTCAACGCCGACAGAATCTCCCCGTCCCGACGCCTTTACGCTACCCCCGGCTGTTGCTTCTTGCAGTCATGATCCCACACCGGCCGCACCAAGTCCCACACCAAGCACGGTGCTGGTGTCGGTTGGTCCTCCTCCGTCGGCTTCTTCCTGCCAAAAGCGAGCACGATCTGGGAAGTGGGCGCAGAGAACCCTGCTCATCGGCGGCCGCCGTATTCCAGCGCCTGACAACCCTCCTGATCCACCACCTGAAGTAGCGGATAACCCGGAGTCAACCGACATCCCCATCCGCGCGGACACCGGCTCGCCCGCTCTCACCAAGATGCAGCTGAGAGAGCAGATGTACCTTGAGGCGAGTATCAATTACGAGACTAAGTGGTCTGGCATGTTTTCATGGCTTGTGTTTGGGAAAACGAAGGATGGCTTTCCGTTTGTGAAGTGCAGCGTCTGCATGTCGTACGGGAAGGAGAACACGAAGTACGCCAGGCAAGGAGATGATGGTGGCCGTGACATGCAGACGCAGGCGTTCCGGGGGCACGAGCACACGGACGCTCACACGGCGGCGGTTGAGCGGCAGATGAAGATTGCGAAGGGCATCCGCTCCGGGCAGCAGGTGATTTCGGACTTCATCAACTCGGACGTCGAGGGGAGGCGCGCGATTCGACTCATGCGGTCTGTTGAGTTCCTTTGCCAGTGCGACGCGCCGATCAGCATGTTCCCGAAGCTGATGCGGCATCTTGCGGAGCAGGACACTCCCGACATTCCGAGGCAATCCTACGGTGTATATCTCACTCGGTACGTGGCTGCTGCTTTGTGTTGCTTGGCATGGTGTATAGTGTTTGTTTCTTCGTTAATTAGCTGCTAACGGTGTAACTAGGTGCGGATGTGCAGGTACGGCTTCCAGCAGATGGTACACAGCATCAGTTCCTACCTGACAAGGGTCCAGATGGACCACATCCAATCTTCTCCATTCCTGGGTCTGCAGTGCGACGAGAGCACCGATCGAACGCGTGGGAAACACATGATTGTTTACCTTACCTTTTTTTAAAATCGCCGTGTCGTAACAGAGTTTTTCACCCTTCTGACTGTTGAGAAGTGTGATGCAGCGTCCCTGTTCGAGGTGCTCATGAACCATCTCCGATCCTCAGCCGTCGATGTGTCCAAGCTCGTGGGAGTCAGTACGGACGGGGCTTCTGTCATGCTGGGAAAGGACAACGGTTTGGTGGCGCGTGTTCGGGAGCACGTGCCGCATCTCTTTTCCTGTCACTGCGTCGCCCACCGGTGAGTCTTGATCCGTACTTATGAGCTGTTGCATGCCTTGTTGGTTGTATGTCACACGTCCCCTTAATGGCACATGTTGTTTTCTGTATACTGCGCCCTACAGGGAGGCTCTGGCTGTGAAGGACGCTGCGACATCCAACCCAGACCTGGACATGGTGGACAAGGTGGTCCGAAAGGTCGCTGCTAATCTCGGCGAATCGTGCATCTGGAGCCAACGCTTCAAGTACCTGCAGCGAGTGATCTACAACACGAACCTAGAAGTCCAGGGGATTCACACGGTGCGGTGGCTATCACGAGGCGATGCTGTGCGTCGACTATGCAAGGTCCTGGGGGCGTGCACCGTTTTGCTCTGGGAGAACAGCCACAAGGCGTACGAGATTGTGACCTGCTACAAGTTCCAGTTCTGCCTGTTCTTCCTCGCCGACATTCTCGCCGACATGAACGATCTGAACCGTTGTTTCCAGAAACGTGATGTAAGTTTACTATTCCCACGAGTTGGCCTCAGCCTGGTGTGTTGCAGTGTTGTTATATGTCTGACATGTGCGCGATTGCTGTATTGTGACAGCTCGACGTGACGGAGATTTCCAAGACCATTGAGTCCACCACGGCGGACCTGACGGAGCGGTACTTGGAGACCAACAAGCCGTTCGGCGGCGAGACCAAGAGCTGGCTGGTGGGCTTTCTGCAGCTGCACGGGCGCGGCGGAGGCAAGAAGGTCAAGGTGCGATGTGTGGATGGTGAGGGACGTCCAATCAACCACATGTACACCATGCACGAGAGGAAGCTGAAGGGTCACAAGTACGGGAGCAGTTACGCCGAGTGCGTAAAGCTTTGCCGCAGCTTCGCCCGCGATTGCGTGGACAACCTCAACGAGCGCCTTGATGACCTGGGGAAGCTGGGGCCGACAAAGCTGTTTCGGGCGGGGAAGTGGCCCAAGATCAAGGCTCAACGGGAGAAGAAGTGCCGGGAGTGGCTTCTGGGATGCAGCAAGCTTTTCCGCAACAAGCTGCCGGGGTTTGACATCAAGGCCGCAGAGAGGGAGCTTCCGACATTCTGTGCGATAATGGAGACGCACCACGAGATGGAGGGGTTCACACAGGGGCTGACCAACATTCTCGGGAGCGCAGATTCTAAGAGGTAACGCTCTACCCTAAACCCAATTAGGACATTCAATGTTACAGTGCAAGTCACTAACTATCCGTCACATTGTGTCCTGGTGAGTGAATGTACCTGGCAGGAGATGGCCCAACCTCAACCTTTTGTGGCAGGCGCTCGCGGTGCTCCCCCTGTCAACCGTGGAGTGCGAGCGTGGTTTCTCGAGTCAAAACGTGATCAAGTCGTGGGTGCGCGGTGCGCTCTGCGCGGAGGAGGCGCCCAGCGAAGAGCACGAAGATGGCTGTGGCAGAGCGTCACAGGAAGGGGAAAGCGAAGGAGGGTCAAGACGAGGCTGCTGGAAGTGCTGGGCAGAACGAGGAGGAGGAGGAGGGTGAGGATGAGGAGGAGGAGGATGTGGAACAGGACCTGGGCGACGATCAGGAGCTGGTGGGGGAGGAGGAGGAGGAGTTTGACGACAACCCCTTCCTCTCGGACGATGATGATGTGGAGGAGGTGTTCCACATTGACAAGCCAGTGCACTAGATAGTGTAGATAAGTCTCTGCATTCTGTAAACCCCTGATATTTTTAGTGGCTTTTAAAAAAAAACCCTGATTTCTAGTTGTGAACCCTGAGGGATCAGTGTGTGACTTTGATGAACCCTGAGCAATCAGAGTAGCTATCCTCTGGAAAATGTGCTCTCATTATACATGGGAAAAAATTTACCCGGAATCAGGGAGGGCTAATATGAAACGTCAGCCCTGCCAGATGGTTAGGAGACCTGTATACGAACACAAACCAAGAAATAAGATATGACATGGCTGAACATCAGGGAAGTATACGGTACAAGATAATGATGAAGGACAAGCAGCCAACACGGGAAAGGATAACGCAAGGTCCCTCGATTTATGCTTACAGTTGAAGAGGGTTACAGAAGAAGGGATGAAAAGAGGAAGGGTGGAGTAGAGGGAAAAACTGATGAAGGGAGGAACGGCGGGGGAGAAGAACAGCACAGCACTCACCAGCACAGCACTCACCAGCACAGCACTCACCAGCACAGCACTCACCAGCACAGCACTCACCAGCACAGCACTCACCAGCACAGCACTCACCAGCACAGCACTCACCAGCACAGCACTCACCAGCACAGCTCTCACCAGCACAGCACTCACCAGCACAGCACTCACCAGCACAGCACTCACCAGCACAGCACTCACCAGCACTGCACTCACCAGCACAGCACTCACCAGCACTGCACTCACCAGCACTGCTTTCCCCAGCACTGCAGGGTGGGTGAGTGAGCAGGGAGTGTGAGTGAGCAGGGTGTGTGAGTGAGAAGGGTGTGTGAGTTAACGGTGGGTATGGTGTAATGGGGAACGGAAAGAAGGTCAAAGAGTGTCAGGTGAGACCGGGGCAGAGAGGAGAGGGAAGGGCTGTCGGTAGAGACAGATCAATGCAGCTTCGATGGGCAGGAGTGCTGCACCTGCAAGCAAGGGACATCGACGTGACAACTACAGCATTGACTATGGCAATCCCCCCTGTTGGCGCCCACTGCTTCTTGTCGGAGGTGTGTGGTATGCCTTGAAGGCTGCTGCTGCCGGCCACAGAGGGTCTTAGGGCATAGGGTATGAGGACTCTAGGCAAGGGGCATGGGGAACAGGGCAACAGAGGGTAGGAAGAGGGGAAAAAGGATGAACGGGCGAAGGGGAATGGAGGGGCAGACCAGGAGGGAAAGATAGGGAACCTCTTCCCAACCAGCACAACCTGGACAACCGGCTACAAAAAGTCGCAATACCGCCGCGCACACCTTCTCCCTCGACACAGACAAATCAACAACAACTGCCCCCCGTCCAAGTGATGAAGTTATCAACTCTGCGCAGGCACGCTTTCTAAGCGTTTCAAAAATCAAGACTACTGCCGCGTTTGATGGCAAAGACTTTTACACCTGGAGTTTCGAGCTTGAGCTCCGCCTACAAACAGCGCAGATCTACCACTATTTCGACTGCTCCTACTCTAAACCGGTGGAAGACACCGACGACGCCAGGGCTCAATACTACAGCGAGTCCCTCATGGCGTACAGTGTGCTGCTACGTAATATGACGCCTGCGGAACAACTCAGCATTCGCTCCTACAAAGAGAGCGCCGCTCCAGCCCTGGAAGCTTGGAAGCACCTCGTTGAGGTATATCAGCCGAAGGATTCGGACACCCCCAGCAGGCTCCTGCAGCAACTCATGGAGACCAAGACAGGGCACGGGGAGAAAGCAAACTCATACATTAACCGCTGTCGGAACATCCGTGATCAGATCACGAAGCATGGAAGCTCAATTTTGGAGGAGATCTTCGTCAATATCGTCCTCCAAGGACTCGGGCCAGAGTGGAAGCCCTGCAAAGCGCTACTCCGACAACGTGGAATTATCTCTGAAGCCGCGCTATGTGCCGCCCTCCTGACTGAAAAGCAGGACATGGACTCGAGCAGAACAAGCTCCGCGCCGCGCCGAGAGCGCCTCGCCTTCTACACAGACAACCGTGAAGAGCGACGACAACCAAGGCGCCACTATTGCAAAATATGCAAAGTCTTCGGACATTCAACGGGTCGATGCAAATCCCGATCCAACTATCGCCACCCGAATTCCACTCACCACAACAACTGGGTCGGCTGACAAGACGCTCGTCATTCTCAGCCCCAGCATCAAACCTCTCGTCCACCCGAATTCCACTCACCACAACAACTGGGTCGGCTGCACAGCACCAACAACAGCAGACGCAAGGACCTCAAGCAGGAGCTCCTAGAAACGTGATCGCAAACATGGCGGCAAGGCGTCGCCCTCACGCTGCTTAACCAGACGAAGAGGACGAACTACGCGGCGGGCTCATTCAACCTGAAGAAAGGTGGAACAACCCCCTCACGGAAGATCACGACTACTAGTATGATGAAGACGAGCAAGATTGGCATCAGCCAATACAGCTGCGGGAAAACCCGCCTCACGAGCATCAGCGCTTCGTACCTGTGGGATGGAAGGAGGACGAAGACCCGTCGTTCCACAGACGCTTCAAGGCGACACTGGTGACTCCGCGACTCGCGCTACTTTTGCGCAACAACAACACCGACAATTACAACACATGGTACCTGGACAGCTGCTGCGACCAACACATGGTGGGATCTGTTCGATATGTCTCGAACATCAGCCGCGCCCCCGCTATCTACGTCACAGTTGCCAACAACGAGCAACTGCGCGCCAACGCGCAAGGCATCGTGGTGCTACAAGCACGAGATAGCAACACCCACATCTCCTTCAACGATTTCGTACCAGACCTCCGCTTCAACTTGCTCTCGGCAGGACAACTTCGGGACTGCGAAGTCATGCTCGCAACGGACCCGGACACACGCGACCTCATCCTCACCTATGGTCCCCCGGACACCCCTCCCGAGTCGCACAAATATCTCGGACGAGCTCGCTCAATCAACGGCATCTACGTACTGGATTTCGACATACCCAGCTGCCAAGCTTCATCAGACGAGCTCGTAGATCTCGTCCCCCTTGACTTCCCATTCATGAACAAGGAGTCGTGGCAGCACCCAGACAGACGGCCATGGATTCGCCGCAGTCCGCACCCCCGTGAAATTAATATGCACCAGCCAGACATCACCGGCCTCTGCACCACCTGTCATACACCCACGGCAAGCCGCACAGAAGAAGTGGAAAGAGATCTCGCGGCAATCCAAGAGGCGGAAAGCGCTGAGGAAGAACCCACTGGTATGATCGAGATGGAGCTCGCCGTCACTACTCACCGCATCTTCGGGGAAGAAAATGAAAGGCTTGGACAACGACGTCAAGAGCGCCCAACGCCCCGCGCAGAAACCCTCCGCTGGGTCTTGGAAGCAAACATCGGAACCTTCGATGAAGAAGGACGCCCGCGCCCTTACCGTCGCGATGTCTAACGCAACTTCATCGACAAGTCGTGGAAGGATCCTGACGCAAAAGAAGAAATGAGCGTCAAAGAGGAGGAAGATAAGGCGAAGGCAGAAAAGAAGCAGAAACTGTATGAGGAGCGCGTAGCGGCAGGATGGGACGAGAAGTCAGCTCGACGTGGCACATGGGGAGACGACGACTACACACCAGAGGAAGGCGCAACATGGGGATCCGCAACTGGCGCATCCGGCACCGTGCGAACAGGCGGATGGGGCAATACCGGAGGATGGGGAGGAGACGAATACACGGATGCCCCGCTCACCAAAGAAGAAGAAGAGGAAATAGAACGCGAAATGGCTACAGAACGCGGAGAGCAATCACCACGCGTCTTTATTCCGCTAGGTCGCCCACCGCGCAACCCGCCGTCGTCACCGCACTCACCACCATGGTGCTGGAATAACCCCTGGTCGGAGATTGAGGAGGGGAACATGCCACCAACTCCCCCACGTGACTCACTTGGTCCAATCTCCCGCCCAGATCCATTCGCCCGCCTTATCGAAGGCACGAGGACTCCGCTCAACATCATCCCCGACCGCGAATTCCTTGCGCTCTACCTCACAACGGCACCTGCAGAAGGGGAGACAGCAACAAAAGCAGAAGCACAGGAGCCGGACAACGAAGCAGAAGAAGAGGAAGAACCTCCACTCCAGATTCCGCAAGAAACAGAAGCGGAAACGGCGGAACACCGTGCTCGTTACATGCGCACTTCCGGGATCCGCGCCGAAGATCACCTCTGGCATCAGCGACTCGGTCACCCCTCGCGCCAGACGCTCAACAACTGTCTCCGCGCCAAAGTGTTTCCCCCAGGAGCACTGCTGCGCTACGACGGCACGGAACCCCACAACACCACACACCCAACTACCTGCACCGTTTGTCCCACAGCTACCCTCTCTCACTGCGCCTACCCCTCTCTGGAACCAAGCACCAACCGCTACAAGAAGCTGCAAAAGGTGTATAGCGACTTCATCGTGCTCACCTACGATGGTATCAACGGCGAGAGGTACACACTCACCTTCGTGGACGCCTACTCACGCCACGTTTGGATTGCCAACGTCGACGCTCGCTCCAAGGCTCCAGAGGTCTTCTGCATCTGGCTCGCACATGCGCAACGACAATCAAGGAGGAAGCTGAAAATCTGGCAGAGCGACGGGGCCAAGGAGTTCCGCAGGAACGAGCTGGAGAGCGTTCTCATGGAGAAGGGGATCAAGCATGAGGTTTCACCCCCCTACGCTCACCAGCAGCAAGGCGTCGCAGAGAGGGTTAACCGCACCCTCATGACAAAAGTGCGCGCCCTCATGAATCGGTCCGGCCTTCCCAAGAAATATTGGTCGTACGCCATGAACCACGTGGTGCGACTGCACAACCTTCTCTCCACCACGGCCAACCGGAACAACCTCTTCCCGCACATGAAGTGGACCGGCTCAAAGGGAGATCCCTCTATGCTGAGGGTTTGGGGGTGTATGGTGCAGTACCGGCCGACGACCGCGACAATCGGCAAATTCACCCACTGCGCGCACTGAGGAGTCCATCTGGGACTCAGTAACGAGTACAAGGGTTGGCTCATTCTTGACATTGACAGCAAGCAGATCGTCCCCGCTCGTGATGTTCTCTTCTATGAGCGACTCACCTTGCAGCAGTGGATTGACGACGAACGTCGCAACGAAGCACGCGGCTAGGTCAACAGCGGCCACAACTTCGCATCACCGGAAGACGAGGCAGCAGCGGCAGCACTCGACCGCAATCCCGCCGACGAACATCCCGGCGTTCCGCCTCGCCCGCGTGACGACGACGACGATGATGACGACGGCACACCCGCGCCAGGACCATCGCGCCGCCACGGCGCTTGCTGTGACCCGAGATGTGGGCGTGAGAGCAAGCGCCGTGGCTGCAACGAGCAGCTGGACAGCGTGGCTCAGCACCTCCGGGGGCGTGCCTACTACAGGCAGCAGGTGCAGTGATGGCAGATAGGGCCACAGTGACCTCAGCCACGGCAGATGCAGCAGCGACAGGTGCAGGACCCGGCAGGTGGGCGTGAGAGCAGGCGCTGTGGCTGCAACGAGCAGCTGGACAGCACCGCTCAGCACCTCCGGGGGCGTGCCTGCTACAGGCAACGGCTGCAAATGCCCGACTTACTTCTTCCACCCCTTTACCCGCCACTCAACCCCTCTGGTGCTGGCGGCTGCGCTGGTGCTGGTTCCTGGTGCTGGCGGCTGGCGCTGGGGCTGGTTCCTGGTACTGGCGGCTGGCGCTGGGGCTGGTTCCTGGTGCTGGCGGCTGGCGCTGGGGCTGGTTCCTGGTGCTGGCGGCTGGCGCTGGGGCTGGTTCCTGGTGCTGGCGGCTGGCGCTGGGGCTGGTTCCTGGTGCTGGCGGCTGGCGCTGGGGCTGGTTCCTGGTGCTGGCGGCTGGCGCTGGGGCTGGTTCCTGGTGCTGGCGGCTGGCGCTGGGGCTGGTTCCTGGTGCTGGCGGCTGGCGCTGGGGCTGGTTTCTGGTGCTGGCGGCTGGCGCTGGGGCTGGTTCCTGGTGCTGGCGGCTGGCGCTGGGGCTGGTTCCTGGTGCTGGCGGCTGGCCCTGGAGCTGGTGCTGGTGCTGGCGGCTGGCCCTGGAGCTGGTGCTGGTGCTGGCGGCTGGCCCTGGAGCTGGTGCTGGTGCTGGCGGCTGGCCCTGGAGCTGGTGCTGGTGCTGGCGGGTGGCCTTGGTGTTGGTGCCTGGTGCTGGCGGCTGGCCCTGGAGCTGGTGCTGGTGCCGGCGGCTGGCCCTGGTGCTGGTGCCTGGTGCTGGTGCTGGCGGCTGGCCTTGGTGCTGGTGCTGGTGCTGTCGGCTGGCCCTGGAGCTGGTGCTGGTGCTGGCGGCTGGCGGGTCCAATGGCAGGTGATGCGCGCTGGGCGGGACGGAGGTCTCTGCTGGCGGTGGCGCTGCTGGCGGTGTAGCTGCTGGCTGTCCCGCCATGCCCTTCCCCTGCTTCCCTCTCCCCCACAGCGTTCGGCCGCCACTCCCTGCCCTTCTTCCCTCACCCTCCCCACAGCGACCGCCGCTGCACACGCGTACAAGCATGACGGGGGGTGGTGATGGGCACGGGGTGGGGGTAATGCGACGGGCAGAGCGACGGCGGGATAAGGTGCGGTTGGGGCGACGGGAAGCAGGGCGACGGGCGACGGTGTGCGGACGGGTGGCGGGAATCTGGTGACGGGCGGCAGCGCGACGGGACGGGCGACGGGCTGCAGCAGCGGAAATTTCGCGGGTGGCGGGCTGCAGTAGCGGGTAGTGCACGGGGTCGACGGGGGCGAGAGCGACGGCGCGAAACAGCGGGTCGACGAGCGCCGTCACTCCCGCTGCGACCGTTGCGCCTGTCACGACTGCCGTGACGGATTTTGCTACGGGCGAGCGACGGGGAGGGACGGACGGAGCCGCGATTTGCTGCTTGACGGGACGCGCCATCGCGAAAGCTAACGGTGGGCCCTTAGGAAATTAGGTCGGGAACGACCTAGCTCAATACCATGTCACGAGACGAACTTAGCTAGGAACGGGTTTAACTAAGGGCCTAGGCTTAGTAGCCTAGGCCAAGCGGGTGTCGAGGGAGTTGTGCCAAGAGAGAATCGAGAATGTGTTGTTTCACTATAGGTTTGCAAGAACATATAGCAAAGGAACATAGAGAAGGTGCACCACCAATGTAAGAAGGCATAACTACACTAAAGCTAATGCTACAGGCAGTTATAAACATACATATAAAATATGTATCGCGACACCCGAGCCTAGCACTACCGCAACTGCCCACGAGAGTGACGATGACGATGTGGTGGAGGTCACCACCGGCGACACCACCAATGTGTCCGGCCTGCAGCTTCTCGGCCTACACACGTCTGTCACTACACTCATGCGCACCGTCGAACCCAAGAACCCTCGACAGGCTCTAACCGGTCCTCACGCCAAGGAGTGGCATGGTGCTATGGACGCGGAGCTGAAGGCGCTGGAATCACGCGACACATGGGTTCTGGTCGATCGTGCAGCAGTGAAGGGGAGGAGGGTGCTAAGCGGAAAATGGGTATAAAGTCTCAAAACCAACGCTGACGGCACTATCGAGCGCTTCAAGGCACGCTGAATCGTACGCGAGTACGACCAACGCCACGGCATCGACTTTGATCAAACCTTTGCTCCCGTCAGTCGTCACACCTCCGTCAGAATTCTACTCGCCATTGCCGCCGCTAAGCACCTACCACTGCGGCAGATCGACGTGAAGAACGCGTTCTTGTACGCGTTGGTGGATGCAACCATCTTCGTGGAATAGCCACACACCTACGGGGAAGGAGACCCCAGGGTCTGCCAACTGAAGAAATCCCTCTACGGGATAAAGAAAGCGCCGCGTCTCTGGCAGCAGCATTTGCACAAAATCCTCCTGGAGATCGGCTTCAGGCAGCTGCCGCACGACCCGGGAATGTACCGCCTTCACTTTAACGGCGACTACATCCTTCTGACAGTCTACGTCGACGACCTGCTGTACACCGGCACCTGCAACAAGCTCCTTAATCAGTTCGAAGAGAACCTGGCGCAGCACGTTGACATCACCATCAACCACAACGTCACACAGTTCCTGGGGCTGAACATCACCTACGCGCCAGAAGCAATTCACCTGTCAGCCTCCAAGTACGCAGAGCAGCTGGGGGAACGCTTCAACATTTCACCCGCACCACTCTCAACTCCTTACCGCAACCCCAGCGCCAACTACAAACCGGACAACAAACCTCTGTCACCCGCAGGACTCCAAATGTACCAGCAGAAATTGGGGTGCCTGATGTTCGCCTCTGTCACCTGCCGACCCGACCTTTCGTACATCGCCAGCCAACAGACACAGTATTCTCGCAAGCCAGTAGCAGAGAACCAGCTGTATCTGGAGCGCGCCCTGCAGTACTTCATTTCCACACCTGACATCGGGCTCTCCTACTCCACGCTGACGACAACCTCCTTCAACCTCAACGGCTACGTTGATGCAGATCATGCCGCTGATCCTGCAAATCGACGGTCCCGAACCGGCTTTGTTTTCCGCCTGGAACCAACAGGACCAATCTCCTGGAACTCGCAGAAGCAAGAGCTGGTTGCCCTGTCATCGGCCGAAGCAGAATACATCGCCGCGACAGCAGCAGTTCGCGAAGGCCTGTACCTGCAGGAGTTACTGCAGGAAGCGAAAATTCCAACTTTGCCCACCTTTCGCCTTCACTGCGACAACCAGAGTGCCATCAAGATTGCGAACAAGCCAGGGTTCGTAAACCGCACGAAGCACATCGCGCTTCGGTACTTTTTTCGTCAAGGACAAAATTGATCAGGGCAAGGTTGATCTCACGTACTGCCCAACCACCGAGATGGCAGTCGACTTTCTCACCAAGCGACTGCCACGTCAGCAGTACAAGCTGTCAGACTTATATGATATTGCCTATGTAGGCTGTAGTGGGGTAGACAATATGGGGTACATCTTTCTTAGGGTTCCATACTTGTACCCTCCTCATTCCTAATCAATTCATTCCTCATTTCTTCACATGGTATAGAGCTGGTTCCCTCGTGGGACCGTTTCTTCCTTGGGCCCACCATTCGAAAAAAAGAATTCCTGCCCTAAACGCGCTTCGCGTCCTGCCCTAAAACTTCGCGGCCCCCCCCCTTAGCGGCCCCCCTTCGCGGCCCCTTAGCGGTCCCGGTCGCGACCCCTTAGCGGCCCCTCGCGGCCCCTCTTAAGGCCCTTCGCGGCCCCTCTTAAGGCCCCTCGCGGCCCCCCCTCACGGCCCTTCGCGGCCCCTTCGCGGCCTTCGCGGCCCCTTCGCGGCCTTCGCGGCCCCTTCGCGGCCCTTTGCGCCCCCCCCTCTCGGCCCTTCGCGGCCCCTTCGCGGCCCTTCGCGGCCCCCTCTCGGCCCTTCGCGGCCTCTTTGCGGCACTTCGCGGCCCTTCGCGGCCCCCCTTCACGGCCCCTCCACGACTCCTCGCGGCCCCTCCGCGGATCTTCGCGACCCGCCGCAGCCGCCCAGCCGCCCCGCCGCCGCCGCTGCTGCCGTCACAAGCCGCCGCCGCTCCTGCTGAGACAACCACCGCCGCCACTACCGTGACAGCCGCCCCCGCCGTCCCGGCCCTGCCCTGCAGCCGAGTCGAGGCCCTGCCCTGCCGCCCTGTTGCGGCCCTGATCCTACCGACGCACCTCGGCCCTGCCCCACCACTTGCGGGTTTTTACCCACCCGCCCCTGGTAAGCGCACAGCCGAGCCGCACCCCACCTGCTGCTACTACTGCTAGCCTGCTTCTGCTGCTGCTGCTGCTAGCCTGCTGCAGCTGCTGTCATGGCTAGTCCCAACGTTCTTTTCTTTGATGCTGAGGGTCGAGCGGTAGACTTTGAGGTCTGGATCGATGACCTGCAGCTGTTCCTGCAGTGCGATAGCAAAGACGGCCTCTCACTGTTCGATCTCACGTCTGGTGCCTCCCCTGCCCCTGCTGCTGATGCTACTAGCACTGTTCGCTCTGTCTGGACCACACGCGATGCTGCTGCTCGCCTTGCTGTGCGTAGTCACCTGCCGTCCTCTGAGCGCGCGCACTTTAGTCAGTACAAGAGTGCTAGCACCCTGTACACTGCTGTTGTTGCGCGCTACTCCTCCCCTGCCACTGCTGCCCTTAGCCGCCTCATGCTGCCGTACCTGTTCCCTGACCTAGCCGCTTTTGCCACAGTCGCTGACCTCATTACGCACCTCCGCACTAGTGACACCCGCTACCGCGCTGCGCTTCCTGCCGAGTTCTGCGCCAAGAACCCCCCCCCCTATGTACATCACTCTCTATTACCTCGTTACCCGGCTCTCTGACTCCCTTTGCTCGGTCAGGGACCACTTCCTCTCGCTTTGCCCCACCACGCTCACTGTTGACCTCCTCGAGGAGCGCCTCCTTGCAGCTGAGAAGAGTATAGTCGCTGTAGGAGCCTCTCGTGGTGACCCCCGTGCCCCTTTCTTTGAGGGGTGCTCCCCCTCTCCCCTCTTGCCCTCTGTTGCCTCTGCTGCTGCTGTCGACCTCGTTGGCACGGAGTCGGTCGGCGCTGCGTCTGCCCCTAGTGGCAAGCGCCGCAACGGCAATGGCAAGTGGGGCAAGGGGGTTGGAGGGGGCGGCGGGGGCGGCGGCAGTGGCGGTGGAGGAGGAGGAGGGGGTGGCGGTGGAGGTGGGAGTGGTGGCGGGACTGGGGGCTTAGGCGGCGGCGGTGGAGGTGGAGGCGGCGGAGGTAGCGGGAGTGGGGGTGGAGGCGGCGGAGGCAGCGGGAGTGGGGGTGGAGGTAGCGGTGGCGGCGGAGGAGGTGGGAGTGGCGGGGGTGGTGGTGGGCAGCGGGGAGGCCCTGGCGGTGGCCAGCGCCAGCAGCAGCAGCGCTCCGGTGAGACCCCGTCGCCTCAGCAGCTTCGTGAGTGGTATGCTGGGCGTGGGAGGTCTGGGGGTGCTGGTCCCTGCACCTACGTTCTTCGCACCGGCGACCGCCGTGGAGAGCCGTGCGGAGGCCCGCACACCACACCACGCTGCTTCGGTCGCCTGACTGACGCCTGGCGCGCTCAGTTCCCTGGCTCCTCGGAGATCCCTCGCTGGGATATTCTGCTTAAGTCGGGGGTTGCTATCTTTGATCTTGACTATGATGCTATCCTTGCTGCTATATATGCTGTGTCTATTAGTTATGAGGGTGACTATTACCTGTGTGTTCCGCCCGACCCGGGCATTGAGGCTGCTGCTCTAGGTACTAGTGAGTCTACTGCTCCAGGTGCTGGTGAGGCTGCTGCTCTAGGTGCTAGTGAGTCTGCTGCTCCAGGTGCTGGTGAGGCTGCTCTCTCAGGTACCGTGTCGGCACAGGTCTTGCACACTTTCACCCTTGACTCGGGTGCCTCCCGCTCCTTCTTTCGCGACTGCACCACCCTCTCGCCGCTCAGTCGGCTGGTGGCAGTCTCTTTGGCTGACCCCTCTGGGGGGACCAGTTGTGGCCAGTTCCTCCACTGTCCTCCCGTGTCCTGCTGTTCCGTCCGGCTCGCTGTCTGGTCTGTACCTCCCCTCGTTCTCTACGAATTTGGTGGCGGGTGCTGATCTACAGGATGGGGGTGTTCACCAGTTCACCCCTGCCCACCAGCGTGTGACGCACTGCACGTGTGCTCGGACGGGTCGTCACCTGGCCACGTTCACCCGTAGGCCGGGGTCCAGCC